AAATGGTCATTTTACCCTTTCAGTATTTGCACTGATTTCGTGAACTCAAGCCTAACACAGATATTTATGAAAACATATAATGGTCATATGCAGTTCCAAATGACATTATATGATCCTGAGATGTATCCCCTAGGGTCTCATAACTTTTCGCCACCAGGCCCGAAATTCCTTAAAAAACGTGGATAAAGCCTTCAATTTTGGAAATTTTGGTCCTTTTCGCGCGGAAATAAAAATTGGCGAGATGCTTAGCATGGTCCCAAATACCCTCCGGAAGTCCAATTAGGTTGGCGGAGCCATCTAATTTGCCTTAAAACGGTCAATTTACCCATTCAAAACTTTTACCGTTTTCGTGAACTCAAACCTACCACGGACAATTACGACAACATTTAATGGTCATATATGGTTCCAAACGTCATTATATGACCCTTAGATGTATCCCCTAGGGCCTCAAGTCTTTTCGCCATCAAACCCCGTAACCTCCGAAATTCCTCGAAAAGTGTGGATTATAGCCTTCAATTTTGGAATTTATTGACCTTTTTTCGTCCGGAAATAAAAATAGCCAAAAAGTTTACCATGGTCCCTAGTATCCTGCGGGAGTACAATTAGATGGGTGCAACCATCTAATTTGCCTTACAACAGTCAATTTACCCGTTCAAAACTTTTACCGATTTCGTGAAATCAAGCCTACAACGGACATTTATGACAACATATAATGGTCATATATGGTTTCAAACGGCATTATATGACCCTAAGATGTATCACCTAGGGCCTCAAGACGTATCTCCACCGGGCCCTGTGACCTTTGAAATTTCTCAAAAAGCGTGGATAATAGCCTTTAATTTTTAATGTTATGTTTTGACCTTTTTTCGCCCAGAAATAAAAATTGCCGAGATGTTTTGCATGGTCCCAAATATCCTTCAGGAGTCCAATTAGGAAGGTGGAACCATCCAATTTGGCTTAAAACGGTCAATTTACCAGTTTACAACTTGCACCGATTTTGTGAACTCAAGCCTACCACGGACAGTTATGGAAACATATAATGGTTATATATGATTACAAATGGCATTATATGATCCTAATATGTAGTCCCTAGGGCCTCAAGAATTTTCGCCACCGGGGCCCCGTGACCTCCGAATTCCTCAAAATGCGTGGATAATAGCCTTCAATTTTGGAATTTTTTGACCCTTTTTCACCCGGAAATAAAAATTGCCGAGAAGTTGACCATGGTCCCTAATCCCCTTTGGGAGTACAATTAGGTGGGTTAACCATCCAATTTTCCTTAAAACAGTCAATTTACCCGTTCACAACTTTTACCGATTTTGTAAACTCAAACCTGCCACGGACATTTACGACATTATTTAATGGTCATATATGGTTCCAAACGTCATTAATATGACCCTGAGATGTATCCCCTAGGGTCTCAACACTTTTCTCCATCGGGACCCGTAATTTTCGAAATTCCTCAAAAAACGTAGATAATAGCCTTCAATATTGAAATTTTTAGACTTTTTTTCGCCTGGAAAAAATTTGTCGAGATGTTAACCATGGTCTCTAATAGCCTCCGGGAGTCCAATTAGGTGGGTGAAGTCATCCAATTTGCCTTAAAACGGTCAATTTACCCGTTCAAGACTTGCACCGATTTCGTGAACTCAAGCCTACCACAAACATTTATGACAACATATATTGGTCATATATGGTTCCAAACGGATTTATATGACCCTAAGATGTATCCCCTAGGGCCTCAAGACTTTTCGCCATCGGGCCCTGTAACCTCGGAAATTCCTCAAAAAGTGTGGATAATAGTCTTCAATTTTGGAATTTTTTGACCTTTTTTCGCCCGGAAATAAGAATTTCTGAGATGTATACCATGGTCCCTAATACCCTCCAGGTATCCAATTTGGTGGGTGAAACCATCCAATTTGCCTTAAAACGGTCAATTTACCCGTTCACAACTTGCATCGATTTCGTAAACTAAGTCTACCACGGACATATATGACAACATATAATGGTCATATATGGTTCCAAACGGCATCAAATGATCCTAAGATGTATCCCCTGAGGCCTTAAGAATTTTCGCCACAGGGACCCGTAATCTCCGAAATTCCACAAAAAGCGTGGATATTTCAATTTTGGAATTTTTTGATTTTTTTTCGCCCGGAAATAAAAATTGTCGAGAAGTTTACCATGGTCCCTAATACCCTCTAGGAGTACAATTAGGTGGGTAGTACCATCCAATTTGCCTTAAAACAATCAATTTACCCGTTCACAACTTGCACTGATTTCGTGAACTCAAGCCTATCACGGACAACTAGTCAAATTCCTAGAAGTTTAAAACACGGTATCGTGTTTCCTACCTCTATACACTTATTCCACAACTAGTCAAATTCTTAGAAGTTTAAAACACAATCCCGTGTTTCCTACCTCTATTGACTTATGACACAACTAGTCAAATTCCTAGAAGTTTAAAACACGATACCTCTATTAACGTATGACACAATTACCTCTATTGACTTATGACACAATTAGTGAAATCCTAAAAGTTATAAACACGGTACGCTGTTTTGTCCCTCTATTGACTTTTGCGTGTTGAAGTCAAATCCATAGCAGTTGTAAGCACAATACTGTGTTTCGTCCCTTTATTGACTTATGCCACAACTACTCAAATTCCTAGAAATTTAAAGCACCGTACCGGGTTTCGTCCCTCGCTCTATTAACCTATGCCACAACTAGTCAAAAATATTATTATGCATAAACAGACTTAATGAGAATATTTCATGAACAACACATATTTACATAATGAATATTTGAAATTATCTATGAACATAATAAATATTATTATGAATATAAGCTAAGGCATTTTATTTTTAACATAAAAAACTAAGAAATAAAAAATAATATGACTATGAAACATAAATATGCATTATAAGTAATAAAAATATGTACATATTCCAAAAAAATGTGAATATATAAATTCCAAAAAAAAGAACATAATCATGCAAAAATATGAACATATTCATAGGTTCCCTTAAATGTGAACATTAACTTTTAAGACATAGGCATAAGAAATATGAACGTATGCATTTTAAAAAGTGAACATCATCATTCAAAATATGAACATAAGCATTGGTTTTCTAATATGATTATGAAAAAAAAAAATTCGAACAGAGTATCGAAAAATTCGGATGAAAATTAACGACGAAAGTCAGTGATATTCGTAAAAATTTACAAAAAACGGGACAAAAATAAGAGAAAATTTACCTTTTTTTTAAGGATAATCCTATTGATTTTGCATCTCTTCTCGTTTATATATCCATTGTTGATTTTTCAGTTTTTAGTGAAGTAAAATCATGTAGAGGAGGAGAGAGAATGGAGTTTGAAGAGAGAAAATCGGAGAAATTAATTGCAAAATTTAATTTTTAAAAAAATAATGAGAAGTAAAACTTTTTTTTTAAAAAAAAAAAAAATTAAAAACCAAAATTTAGATTTGGAGTGGGTCACATTTGGGAAGTGAAGGTTTGGGTTGGGTCATGTTTTCGTTTTGGGGCATTTGGGCGAATTTAGCAACTAAACTGCTTATTTATTGGCTGGTGTTGTATGTATCCTAACTGCATAAGGATGCATGTAAGACCAATAGGGAGACTTAAAATCGTGTTACGACACGGCCACGCCCCCCCCCCCCCTCGATCACCGTATCGTGCTGGGAAAATCTCATATTCTGGGCCTGTACCACTCGCGGGCCGACACAACCCATGCCCACCTCTAGGTAACCGTCTCAAGGATGAACGACACGTGTCCCACCCAATAAGTTTATATGGGACGTAGTTTATAATAATAAAAAAAAAAAAACTAGTTCAAAACTCGTGCTATACACGGTTCTACGATATTATTTTATAATTTGTTTAAAGGTGTATTCTATTCACCTGATTTTCACTGATCTAAAGTTATCTTACTTATATGAACTTACCTAAATTTATCTGAATTTATAAGACCTTATTAAAACTTATTTTAGTTGTAATTTGTACTTGGATAACCCTTATAAGAACTTATTAAACCTGAACTGAACTTATCTTAACTTATTTGAACTTATTACACCTGAAATAAGTGAAAATAAGGTGAACAGTACATACCCTAAACGGTACAAAATGAAATCATAAGAAGTAAAAAAACATACAAAAGAAATAAAATACGACAAACATTATGATATACCATAAGATTAATAATACTTTTTGATAATATCCTAAGTAGTATTTTATATTATTACATAATATTTCTCATTCTTTACCATTATATTTTTTTAGGTATCAATCCCTAAGTATAAAGCCAAAGCTTCTCTATGAGATATAGAAACAAACTTCATTCAAAAAAAAAAAAAAAAGGAAAAAGAAAAAAAAGAGTAACAATTTTATTGGCCGCGGAAATTTTTTTTATGAATTGATGCCACACGTGTATTTTAGGGCTAATTACGGGGATTACTTTAGTATATAAGTATAGATAGAAATGAAAAATCAAATGAAATTAGAACAATAATAGAGCTAACAATGTTAAGATTAAAGAAAAAGAGGACAATATAATTCTACGGAGTATATGAAATTATCAATGCAACATCATCATTACAATTTATTACTCCACAATAAGAGGAAATTACTGTGATTGCAATACTATATAGTAACTTATCATGATCCTCTATAATTTAATTAACTTCATTTGATGGTATAGTTTTGTTTTCCAAATTCACCTATTCTTCTGCGAGCATATATCACTATCTTCGCCCCTTGTGGTAGTAAATTAGAACTCCATTATTGTATACCATTCACCTTCTAGTTGGTAATCACTTTTTTAAGAATAAAAGTCAAAGTGGAAAGAACACATTTTAGAAAAATACTTCAAAAAAAAAAAAATTAATTAATCAATCAATCAATTATTTATTTAGACCTTATAATCTGTAGCCAAAAGTTATTCATACATTATTGATGAACTTTTGTGGTTAGTTTCTTCTTAGATTAGACACTCATGGCAGTGAGGATGCGAAGGTGGGTATGAAATGCACTGTCCAACACACGGCCAGTAGATGCATTGGCAAGTGTTACATAAATAGACTGTTGGAAACCTTGGAAGCCCTGATGATCAACTTTCATATGGATTTATTTAATTGATTCAATCAGAAACAATATGGATTTTCATTGTGGCATAACTATTGGGAACCAACTGAATCAATGCATTTGTTGGCATAAACAAGTCATCACAATAATTGGATCAGAGCAGCAGGTTCACAGCGTAGAAGTAGGCGCGCCTGATCTTACATTACAGTCAGTCATCAGTTGCCTATAATAATGCAAAAGATGATCTGAACATATATATATATAAGGATCTAAACGAAACGAACCATAGCAGTTTTATTTTTATTCATAAAAGAGAAAATTGAATTAAGAATCGTACAAAAGATTTAATTGTTACAATTCCTACAAGAGCCAAAATACAGAGAAAAATGTGAAAACCTCCCAATTTCCTAAAGAAATAGACATACAAGGGAAAACCAATGATACTTTTTCCCCAAAAAAGTTGCAGATAAGAGATCATCGATGCAGTAACTAACAGAAACAATGCTATAGTGCCTTAAGCAGTTAAGTGTATTAGCTCAGGCCTGAAATGATAATTTTCAGCTTGTCTGTATATATACATTTGAAGAATGACACTGCAAGTTCTGTTTGAATGAAAAGAATTGGTGATTGCTATCTTCAGTAGTACAGTTGCATTTGTGTACTGTTATATCAAGTCACTGCAGAAATTGGCTACAAATGGAATGTGATTCAGAACAGCAACCCCTCAGGAAATTCAAGTCTTTTTTTTTTTTTTTTTTTTTTTTTTTTTTTTTTTTTTTTTTGTTTATATCATACATGAAACAAACCAAAGCAGGTTCATTTTATGTTCATAAAAAAGAAAACTGAATCAACCATCTTACAAAAGATTCAACTGTTACAATTCTTTAGAGCCAAAATACAGAGAAAAATGTGAAAGTTTCTCAATTTTCTAAAGAAACTCACAATAATCAAGTCACCCCAGAAATTGGCAATGAATGTAATGTGATTAAGAACAGCAACCCCTCAGAAAAACTCACCAGCCATACTTTTTATTACTTTCTTAGTAATAAAAGTTCTGATGAAGAGTTCTTCATGGCAAGTCATCCTCTTTCAAGGATCAGAGGAATACAGGCAGTCTGAATGACTTTTATTCTCAAAATCTGAATAAACTTCCAACAGTCCAACTACATTTGTTTGAGAGTATGAGGATTTCTTTGCTTCCCCCCTTTAGTCTTAAGCGTGACGACTGAGGCAGAAAATTTACAGCAGACTTGCCATCAATTGATCAGGTTTGTATACATAAGCAAAGCGTTGTCCGGATTCCCTTAATGAACAAATAAACAAGCTTACTTCAAGACGTCTTTTTTTTTTTCCTCTTGCAGATAATGTACATCTGGTCATCTCAGGCTGTTATCAGCAAGACTCAGAAGCCTAATAATATCCGTATAGTAGTTCCTGAGATACAGAAATCTTATGTTAAGTTAATGAAAATTACTGGCTGCATCTAGTTAAATAAACAGCTTGTTATTTTCCAAAAGATACATACAAAACAAAAACTTAAACACAGGACTGGAAGATCAACACTTGGTTTTTTCAGCTGTAACAAAAACTTAAACACAGGACAGGAAACCAATGCAAAGAACGCTCACTTTATGTATCAAATTGATAAAAATGAATATAAATAAGTAAATAGATGGTGCAATGACTTACAATTTGAGGGATGTGTTGAATTTTGGGACGGTCCTCTCCATCAGGTTCTTTGCATCTTTTCAATAGGTTCCGGCAACGTTCTATGGAAAGTCTCTGGAGGGAGGTGAGTGTCCGCATTGCTTCTGGTATTGATTTGAGGGCACAACAGTCCAATATGACCAGGCTTTGAAGAGAAGACAAACTGCTTATCCATTCTGGGAGGGCTGTCAATTTGGTACATTTGTAAATGGTGAGGGCTTTGAGGGAGGTCAAGTACTGCATCCCCTTTGGCAAACTAGTCCATTCAAATCTATGTAAATACAAGGAGCGGAGGCTTTGAGGAAAAGATTTCCAAAGCATCATGTTGTCATCTTCTTCATACACTTCGGAGCCGTAGAGAAAGTTACTTCTGCCTAATTTGATTTCCTCCAAAGCACTGAAATGTTGCAAACCTGTTCCTCCAGCCAGTCTTTTCAGTCTATTTATTTCGTCTATTGTTAGACTTTGCAAAGAAGATGCGCATCTCTGGAATGCCTCTCCAACTTCTGATTCATTCTCCCTCTCCTGATCTCTACCTTCTGTTATCCAAAGAGAGGTAAGACTATTTGTGGGCACTGATTTCAAAATACTCGCATTGTCGGTATGCAGGTACCAAAATTTGGCACTGACAGAAGTATCATCTGCTGTTTTTAATATTTGGAAATTTTTACTACTTGTCAAGAAGGTCAGCTTTTCTAGGTTTGGACAATGAGGAATTAACGTCAGGTTTGGGCAATTGTAGATATCTAATATGGATACAGAGGGAAATCTCCACCTGGAATTCAAGCCGTGATTATCATCAGCTGATGGCTCCTCCTTCCGCCAACCTTTCAATTTATACATACTTCGAAAAATAAGTTTTGTAAGGGAAGGGAAGAACGTTGCCAATTCTGCAGTTTCTTCACCGTAATTGCTCATGCTTCCGCTTGTATTCTCCATGTACTCCAAGCTATCCAAATATTCAAGTACCAGTGATTTCAGATGAGGCATTTTACTTAGCACTGGCATCTCCGTCAAGTTTGTACATCCATGAAACCTGATATTGACAAGACGCGATAGGGAGACTGCCCAGTTACTCTCCGCTGTCCCCCACTTTGGAATTATTGTACCCTGGTAATCGCTCAAGCAAAACCCCTTGAGCTTTGAAGGTGGCTCCAGGACTTCCAACACAGCTTCATGTCTCACACATCCACCCTGTTTATCACTAAAATCGATATCGACGCTGGTGAGATATTTCATGCTCTTCAGATACCCTCCCTCTACCCCGTTATTCATGCCTTCCACTTTTCTATTAGTATAATATTCACCGATTGCAATCCTGATGGATCCCTTTAAGTTGATGAGAGGTTTTAGGGCTTTTAGGGCTTTCAGCTCGTCAACATCACTTGAATTTCTGTTACCCACCACAAAGTAGTAAGAACTCTAAGACTACTTAGCTTATCCAAGCCTGAAGGCATACCACTTAATTTAACATCAGAAAGTAAATCCAAATGCCAGAGGTTAACCAGTTTGCTAAAATCTTTTGGCAACTCCCTTAAATTACTGCAATATTTTAAATTTAATGTCTGCAGATTATGCAGCCTTGTAATTGCATCAGGAAGTATCTCCAAACTTCTATTATGAGACAGGTCAAGAAACCTTAAATGCAACAGCTTACCTATTGAATCGGGCAAGATTTTAATGTGCGATCCTGACAAATCAAGCGCCCTTAGGCACAACCACTTGTCAATTAGAGTATCCACTGAAGGTTTTTTACTCACATTGCAAATATATGAACGAATCTTATTGCTACATGAAGATATCGTTTCTGGACATATATCACCAACACATTGCACATGACGTATTTTATCACCCATTTTATCTGTCATAGAAGTCACTACACGGGCCTCCTCCTTCCCCACTTCTTGAGCAACATCATGCATCAAGTCATGGATCTTAATTGAATCTATATCACCACGTTCATTTGTTTTGACATCTTGAAAGAAACATCTCCGTAACAAAATTACAAAATGTTCCTCCGCAGCATCATCTATACTTTGACCTCCTTCTAATGGCACAATGTATCCTTGTGCCATCCAAAGTTGAATTAATATACCCTTCTCTATTACATGGTCCTTTGGAAACACTGCACAATAACTAAAACAACTCTTCAACGAGGATGCCAGATTGTGGTAACTGAGCATTAATATAGACATAATCCTATTATTGCCTTCACCATTTTTGGCTAGTCCGCTCTGTTCAAACGACTCCCACTTTCATATGTCTTGCCCAAACAAAAGACTTCCTACCACCTTTATAGCTAAAGGAACGCTATGACACTTTGCAACAATCTTCTTCCCAATCTCAACCAACTCGCCATGATTTTCTTGGTTACATCCATTGCTAAATGCCGACATCTTAAACAACTTCCACGAATCCTCTTGAGATAACCCTTGTAACTTATAGGCATTTTCATCCCCTATTATAGCTGATGTAGTCTCTGAACGTGTAGTTATCACAATCCTACTCCCCCCTCGACCCAACATCAAGAACTTCTTCAAAGCAAGCCAATTCTCACGGTCCTCATTCCATACATCATCAAGAACAAGGAAGAACTTTTTTCCTCGTAATTGATCTTGAAATCGGTTTTGCACCAATTCCATTGTAGAGCTACCATCAATCTTACAATGAGTAACCAATTCAACAATCTTACAAAGGATTGCTTTCACATCAAATATCTCCCCATCTTGATCAGAGACACAAACCCATAACCTCAAATCCGGAAACTCATTCTTTATCTTATCATCATTAAACACAAGTTGAGCAAGAGCGGTTTTTCCCAACCCTCCCATTCCCACAATAGTCAGGAAACAAAAATCTTGTTTCATACTAGGATTCAGCAACATATCTATGATCGTCTCCTTATCCTTATCCCTCCCAATAATATCATTCGCGTGTAAATACGAACAAGTTTCCTCCCTTCTCCTACAAATAGGCTTATAGTCAACTTTAAACCCAAACTTAGTGTGCCTATCAACTATATCATCTAAGTGCTTCTTAATCTCCTTAACCTTACAAGACATCTTGTAAGCTTGACTCATCTTCTTTTTCTTAGAAGAAAAGAAACAACGCAGCTTTTCAGAGAACTTACCACCCTTGTTGACATTGCCATCGATCTGTTTCAGCTCAGCAAGAGTGAGGAACTCATCGAACAAGTCGTCGGCATCATAAACAACATCCTTGAGGTCCTCGATGTAGCCTCGTTCTGCCTTGGTGAGCTCTCGCTTGAATTCGGCATCAAGGAGCACATTCTTGATGCTGGTTACAGTTTTGTTAAGGTCTTCAAGATCAGATTTGTAGCCCCACATATCGCATATCTCTTGAATGATCTCACTGCTAATCACTTCTATGAGTTTCGCAGCAATCGAGATTCCGAGTTCAGCCATTGGGTTTTGGTACAGATTTCAGAAATTCAGAGTAAAGAACAGATGATAGTGGAGAAAGATAGTAAGAGTAATGGTGACTAAGGCTTAGTTACTCCCTCTATTTTACTTAGGGTTGTTCAATGGTTCAATACCAAAAATTGAAATATTAAGACTCGGAGATCGGACCGGTTTTGCTTGGACCGGACGTCCAGATCTGAACCTAAATTGAACAGTTTGGATATTTTTTAATAGAAAGGAGCATAGTGAGTTACATTATAGAGTTGTTATTCATAATTTTAAACAAAAAAAAAAAATTCAGTCTGTTTTTCAATATGTGTTTGCCCCATACTTCCGTAAAGATGAAATCACATCAGTTTTTTTAATTTGTATTTACAAAAATTGAATCATACAACACACATGTAGGAGCATAGGGAGTTACATTTGTTTTTTACCCAAGAATTGATGATTATGCCCCCCATTAAAATTGAACAGGTGATGACAAAACAATATGGAGCGGAGTATTGGGAAAAAATAAATACTAAATGAACACACAATCTCCAAAGCACAGGAGTTGAAGCCCTAGACATAGTCTTGGACTTTGGGGATTCCTAGTACAGCAGAAAGGATTGTAATAATTTTATAAATTACTTCATTTATTGTTAAGGAATCTTTATTATATGAAGTCAGGATGAAATCCAATCTCTCTCATTGGAGAAGAGCATTCAGATATGTTGCAAAGTACCTTCGGTTAGCCTGGAGCTAATTCATGCATATTAGGCGGTCGATCAGGTAATGACTTCTGTGATCCAACAGGTAATTGCTCATTGACACGAAACCAGACCTATAAACAAGAATACAATAGTCAGGAAAGAAAAAAAAAAAATTTGAGAACACAAATGATAATAATGCTAACAATTAGAAAATACTTATATCTGCATTGATATGGATGACCTAAAACAATTAAACAAACCTAAGTTCATAATGACCAATCAAGCAAAGTGCTTGCCTGTGTGATGTCTGGTCTGGAGTCTGGGGAAGAGTTAAGCATGTCTCGGATTAAATCAGTAATGGAAACACTGTATTTTGGCAAATCTGGGATGCGATAATTTCCATTCAAAATCTGTAGCTTTGACTCGCCATCAAATGCAGATTTGAGATAGCAAATACAGTAGAGCAAACAGCCAAGTGCCTAAACAAAAGAAAGGAATTTAAATTCTGGTGCTTGTAGCATTCATAACTCTAAACGAATATAGTTTCGTGTAAAAGCAAACATGTCAAAGATCAACTTACCCATATGTCCACCTTCTCACTAATGAAATCTCTTCGGAACAGAGCCCACATCTGTCCCAGGGGGAAAAAAAAAATCATATATATTTCAGTTACAATTCATTGGATAAAGTAATGCAAGTTCTTTCAACCTCAGGTGCTCTATAGGGTGTCGTGTGTTTCCTAATGTCGTCTTCTTCAATTCCCATTTCTTCAGGTTTCTCAAAGCGGTTGTGATTGGTAGAAGTGCTTCCAAAGTCACACAATTTCCATGACCCATCTGAACCCAGCAAAAGATTTTCTGCTTTCAAGTCACTACACAAAAGATAGGATGAGCAAGCAATATCAGATGAAATTCAAAGTGAAAAAAGGCAACATTTTCATCAGCTTACTGCAGTTCTACTTTTCTAATTTGAAGTCTCTAAAAAAGAAATTATTCCCCACAAGCTACCCTGGAGGAGGAGAGGACTAAAAAGCAGTAAATTATACAAAATAAAAAATAGAAGTAAATAGCAAAAGTCACATGGCAGAGACTTTGGGGTTATTTAACATGAATCGTCATACAGAACCATCTGCGAAAAATGAATTCAACACTGAAAATTAAGACACAGATAAAAGGGGAAATAGAACCCTAAACCTTCCATTAAAAAATTTGTGTTAAGAGCTTGTTCCTTACCGATGGGCAATTGGTGGAGAATGGCAATGCATAGCAAAGACTGCATTACAAACATCTCTATAAATTGTTAGGACTTGTTTTTCATCAAAGTAACAAGCTCCTCTACTCTCTAAAACATTTACCAGAGATTTCTCACAATATTCCATCAGAAGAAGTGCTTCTTTTGCCCTTCCCATATCCAAAATGGTATGAGAATCAAGCAAAACCACATTAGGATGTCCTTTCAGAGATTTTAGTACTTGGATCTCTTTCACACTGAATCCAATGATTCCTGATCATTGCATATGATATGCTTTAAAGCATATTGCTTCGATGCATTCAATGCATATTTAGCCAAGTAAACAGAAGAGAATCCTCCCTCAGCAATGACATTCTTGACATTAACCTTAGTGTCACCAATATCAATATAACGGCCCTCAAGCCCCGAAGTTTCCTTCTGCACAAAGGGCTTAAACTTCCACATGATCGATGCTTGATGAATAAAGCACACTGCAGGCATTCAAAAGAGTTAAATGTGAGATTAGCCATACATTATACAACTTGATGATTCTTTCCAATGTTGAACTAAGGAGTTAAATTCACACCATAAAGTATAGCCTTCATACACTACACTAAAAACTACATAAGTACCAACAAAATTTCCTTAAAAATTTTACCTAAATCATTACACTCAAAATAACAAAGTACATATGCAATTTTACCTCATCTTGATCTTCTACATGAATTTCTATCATTCTCCATAATTTTTGCTCTTAAGCAAGTCAAATTCATATCAAATATTTTTTTTTCCATCTTAATGTAACCAATATCTAATAATGCACACCCCAACCCAATACTCACATTACCCACTTCCAAATTCCCAATACCCACCAAATCCAAGCCCTTTCTTCCTCTCCTATGACAAAACAACAAAATTTGCATTTCATATACAAATATTTAGCTACCCTAAAATCCTAATTGAAGGTAATCACATATAATAGACTTCAAAATTAAGAAAGAACAATTCTGAAAGTAATTCTCTAGTTTCAAACACTTTCACCCCAAAAAAAAAAAAAATATCGATCAAATTACGATAATCCGTAAAAAATAATGCATTTCAAGAATGTTTAATAATCTCTATAATATACCAACAAAAAAAAATAAAAAAATGGTGAAATTCTGTTAAAAATTAATTGATATTGAATTAAGAGAGTGAGGATGTGTTTTACCTGCAAATGTAAGGATAGTAAACAGAGATGGGAAATTGGGGAGAGAAATGACGGTGGCTTCCGACGAAGCGGCGAAGTGATCACCGGCAACGGTAGATCAGTCGGTGTAACAAAGCTCAGAAGATGACGGAGAGTATAAAACTTGTATTAATTACTCTTATTTCTAACTAAAAGTCTCATTTATCGCAGAAAATAAAAATTGTCTGGTGGAAAAAATTGTACGGAGTGAATACTTTGAATTATCCTAACGTGAATTATGTATATGGTACATCTTGTAAAAGTTAACCCGTTATTCTATTTTCTTTGATTAGTATTGCTGAACATAATTATTTTGTCTGATCTTATTTAGCCAATACCCCGTATTTTTCAACTTGTTTTGCTAAAATAAACTTATTTAAATGTATGATTAAAATTGTATTGGTACTAATTAAGTTGAAGAGAACGATGACTAATGCAATTATTTACATTATAGCACATATGGGGTGGTAGATTGTTAACGAATCTCGATAAAGGTAAAGGTAAATTTTACGAGTACAATGACTAAAAGGATCAACGACAAATTAAGGATATGATTCATTCAAAAATATCCAAATCGTATTCTACCAAACTAGCTAGGTTTATTTAATTCATCTACTTAATTTCATCTCTTGATCCTCAATATTAACAAATGTTGAAATGTACACTTTTTGGCAAGTTAAGCTCTACATTTATGAAGGTTACAACTTTGATTCAAATATAAGGTCATAACTTCTTCATATATTTGCCGAAAGAGTAGATGTGACGTTCAGCTATTGAAAAGCTCTGGAAATGAACTTTAATCTCCAATTTGAATCGGTTAGATAGTTGTGGAGTAAAAACTACAAAAGAGTAACAAATTTACAATCATCTCAAGTGTTAAAAATTAATCAAAATAAACTATAAAAGTGTAAAATGACAATGAAAAATGTATAAAAATGAAAAAAAAATTCAGTGGTTAATAATAGTAAAAATACCATTTATCATGGGGCTTCACATTTTTTTTTTCTTGAAAAATATGTGTGCTTATGTTTTTACTTCCCAAATGAGCATTCTTTCAACGATTAAGTTTTCCTAAAATGGACAGATAAGAAACTAAAAATAATAAAGCGAGTGAGGAGTATTATTGTTTGCGACTAAGTGAGCCATTGATTTTAAGGAACGACATGAATACCATAAAACTTGGTATAAATTTTCAGAAACTCAGAAACCAAGTAATAATATACACTCCATTCCTTTATTTTATCTTCCTATTTACTTATCACAATCTTCAATACACATCTTTGATAATTTTATTAAAAAATTGGATCACTAAATTCTTTAATTGCAAAAAAAAAAAAATATCCAGAAGTTGATAGTTTAGAAATTCACCTTTAGAGGAATGAACAATATTACACATGACTTTTTTTTCTTATACTTGTATATATTTTGATTAGAATTTACGATCATAGTTGAACTGATATCCTGAATAGGAAGAGCAAAAAGAAACAAATAGAATACTCGATTATTCTAACAACATTGTCATGGGAAAATAAGTTCGAGTAGAGAAAACAAAGGGACTATATGATTTACTTCAAAATAGTATGATTAACCAATTATGGTTAGTTATAAGTTTATAACTACCGTGGGAAAATCCATACAAGATGGCCCATCACATATATACATTATTATTATAGTACATCTTGTGCACTTTACTAGGAAAGTATACAACCAAAGAACTTATACGCGCATAACTATATCATTTCCCAAGTCCGACTAATCTAGGTAATACCCTTGGATCACAAGACAAGATCACAAGACACAAACCCGTGCATCTACCCCTAAGGTGTTAGCCTATAAACTCGACACTACAAACATATACTTCCTCCGTCTCATAAAGTTTGTCAAATTTTCTAAAATGCAGCCCATATATATTACTTATGGGTTTCAGAAAATGTGACAAATTTCATGGGATAGGATGGAGATAATTTGAGACTTACTTTAAAGTTTTATGTCCTATCTGCACTTGATGGGGGGCTGAAGAGTTGTGGAAGTACATGCAGATGGCGGAGATGTCGTCCGCTGCAATGCCAGGCCTCTTAGATTTCCATGCATGAGCTGCGTATTTTACTAACCTCTTAGCAGATTTTTCTCTTGTCGGTGCTGAAGAAACTATCTGCACAGCTTCTTCGTTGGAGATAACATCCCACACCTGTATTAAATTTTAAAAAATGAAAAGTCCCATTAGGCATTTGTAATTGACAATCTTAAGTAGCATACATAATAAGATATTGTACTTGATCAAAAGATATGTAGGCGTCAAATATATCCCAATCCCAAATCACTTCAGAGTTCATGCATTGGCATAGACTTCTTTGTCTGATGAAAGACCAACTCCCAAATTGAACTTCAAGATAAGTATGTGATTTCAAGGAATGGTTCATTGTTTGTTCCGTTAAGTAAACCTTCATGAAAGCCCACAAATATACAGTGCGTTGCATAAAGCATAGTTCATTGGTTTTTAGCAGGAATAACAAAAGTACAAGTTTGTAAAATCATTAGTGCATCTATGCTCATACAAGCTAGGAAAGTCCAACTTCCCCTTCTAGACGAGCAAATTCCCATGTTCTGTAGGAACTTGGTTACTAGTGGAACTTGAACATCCAAGGAAGACGATAAACCAAACATTGTAGTTTCCTTTTATCATTGTAGTTTCCTTTGATGCCTTAAAGGTGTTTTCTTAATACATGAAGGTAGGAATGCAGAAGCCATTCTTAAAAGTGGCAACATTGAAATTAGTCCCACTTATAAGAAATCATTGGTCCAACAGCATACTATGAATCAAAGGGTGATTACCAAATTATGATCTTTCAATTTTATTTTATTTTGTCCTAGAAGTTGTAGAGCATTTCAATATTTTACCCTAGCATCTATGCTACTTTTCCAATTAATTTCCCCAAGAGAAACTATTGAAGTATAGATCAAGTAAAAGAGACAATATGTACAGATGAACTGGGAATGTTTGTATTTTCTAGTCATAATTAGATCAGGGCAAAACAGTGTAGAAAAAGTACGGCAGCACTGAATTCCATGAAAAAGCTTTGAAAAAGGTTCTTCTACATTGGCATAGGAAAAATAACAAACCATCATTCCTCACCTAACACAAAGCATAGCTAATCCTAGGTTTCAGGATGATAATTGGAAAGCAAGCAACACAAAATTGAAGGGAATTAAAGAAGCTAACCCCATCTGTAGCCAGTATGGCAAATTGGTCTCTGCTTGTAATGCGCCTCTGTGTAACTTCAGGTTCAGAAATAAGCCCAAAATCTTTCATGCAATGATCTCCTAAGGCTCGTGAAAGTGCCAATCCTGGAGCCCCATTATTTGGCTGCCAGAGCCTATAGACCCCTGGTTCATCATGAGAGCAAAATACTCGTCCTTTTGACAGCATTATTCTCTCCTCTTCTTCTGCAAATTGAATACATGGAATGCTGTTAAATTTCTAAGCCACAAAAATGTTTACAAATAATGTTACAAGACAGATAGAGAGCTCTCACGAGGTAAGTTGGGCTTCAAATCAATTGTTAATTGAACTGGTACCAAATTTCCATTTTCACTCAATGTAGCTAAAACAGCACGAGAGTCTCCAACATTAGCTACAGTAAGCAGTTCACCCTGAATTTTCCATACACAACATAATGTGTTAAAAATAACTGAATTGTCACAGTCAAGAAACTTGAAATCTCTCACAAAGACATGAAAAGAAAAAATACTTCTTATAGATATATAATTTCAGAAGAAAACATCATTTATTCATGTGTAGCGCAGTTAGTTGGATTATTTATAACACTATAAAACTGATAAAGACAAGTTGATCCTACAACTCACAAGAAGTCATTTCTTGCTAGAACTTAATTTTGGAGCATGATTTTCTTGGTCATTTTATCGTGCATTCCCCAGTTGCTTAGACTGCCTAGATGTGAACACTCTCCTAGAGAGGGCTTCCATTAACCAAAGAATTACTATATTTGACATTCATTATCAGTCTCAATATAGATTGGTTCATTTCAGATTCTCGGATCCTATTCAGAACAGGCTCAACTATAAACTGAATCTGGGATTTTTATTCCTCATCCATTGATCACAAACTCATACGAAGTATTATTCAGCTAAATATTTAAGAAGCTCAAGTTTGTGATAAAAAAAAATAATAAATAAATAAATAAAATAACACTCAAAACAATATGTTAGTATTATTAGGGAAGATCAAGTAATAACAAAGTAAAAACGCAGGCTCCAAACAAAGTGAAATAAGTGCAAGGTGATATAACAGATCTGCAGCAACAGTAGTTTTAAATTCTTAGAAGCAAGATGTATTAAGGAACACTATTCATTTAGCCCATTAAGCTACGAAATACATAACAAGCTTTTAAATTAAATAAAAAAAAATTAAAAAAAAATCATCAATACCTGTCTCACAATTGCCAAAGCAGTAGTTCCACTATCAAATGAGTCAACTCTTGGATGGCATTTTAGTTCTTGATCAATGACAGAGCAAGTCCTTGAATATGTTTGTTTCCATATGTGAAACTCTTGGGCATCTTTAGTCAGCTGATTCAAATCCACATCAAGCTCAAGCTCAAGTGGATGGACGGCAAGTATTTCCTGCCAACTGCGTAGCAGTAAAGATGGCAATAATTTGCTGACATACTTAGAAACAAAATGACCCAGAGGACCATGCCCATCAAAGATTCCACAGAACGTCATATCTTGTTGGCAACCAAACTCCTGCATTTATTTATACAGATATTAATCAATTTTTGAAATATAGAAGAAATCTGCATAATATAGAGCATACTTTTTATTTATTTTTTTAAACCAATATAGAGCATACTTACTAAAGAAAATATAAATCAATTATCATGTACTTCAGCTAATATAGTCTTATAGAGTACGTGAAATACAATCCAACTACACAAGCATTTACTGAAGAGAACATAGAATCACCATCTATCATGTAGCCTAAAAGTGACTTCCGTATGTGATTTAATCTTGTTTGGGCTACACCCAATTTAGCTTGGCCTGGTTGGGTGAGGTACGAAAAAAAAAAAAAAAAAAAAAAAAAAAAAGGTATTTACCATCCAACAGGCCGAAAGCATGAGATCACGTTATACTATTTCTCCCCCTCCAAAAAAAAAGTTACGAATTCATAACAATTAACTTGTAAACGTACCTTCCACACTGTCAAGCAATCCTGATTAATTCCTTTCTCCCCTTTCTTGGAAAAAACTGATGCTGCTCCATTAGACCTCGAAGTTGTTACACCAGGACATCTTAAGATTAGATGATTCCTCCTTGCTTCATCTTCCAATGACTCGGCAGCTCTCCTTCCCTTATCATTCTTAGTGTTCCTGCCCTTGGATGAAACACTCTTTGCCAGTCCCTCAAATAGGGAGGAAAATTGTACCATAGTTCTGCAGGTTAATTATTAGCAAATCAATTGACACTCTTTTATAGTTTGGCTTGAATGCCTGAAATTGTTGATATGCATGACTACTTAAGATTGACGCCCAAGGGCTGACAAAGCATATTGGCCTTGGATGAAAGAAGTCTAACTTCTGATCAAAAAATTTCTAAAACCAAATCTATAGCTCCACACTTTGCAATCTCATGACTGTCAAGAACAGAAACATCAACAACCCAACATGCATCAAAGGGTGGCAAGATATGGGGAGGTAATTAACTCTAAGAAAAAGTGCAAAATAAGAAAGTTGTTTCAGAGACTTGCAAAGGCAGACTTTATAAACACATAACTGCCATAGAAAATTAAAAAAGAAATCCCTTGACTTCTTACAAGACAGAACTCTATACTGCTTGTGAACAATAAAGTCAATAGTGTTACCTGTGCTCAGAAATATGTTGTTTTGAGCTTGTGAGTCCTCAGAAATTGCAGATTACAATAAAGAAACTCAATAGGGTTTCAAAATCTAAACTCTTACAAGGAGCAGTTTATCCTCTAATTTCAATTATCCACCCTAAAAAAATACGCGTTTTAGTCCCCTAAACGCAATTTTCAATGATAAACAGTTTCAATATTTCAACCCTTAAGACAGCCAAGGAGATATTTATATTCTTGCGTTAACACTTCACAGAGACACTGTAGCATTAAGACTTGAACAAGAATGGGTGCTATCTTTAGCAAGCAAAATTGGAAGTTTATAAGCTAGCTCAACTAATCTCATACATTATTTTATACAAAGTCGGCTTATGGAAAGTGAATTTTGCTGACATTATATGTAAGTTTAATATAATCAGGTAAGTGGTGCAAACAAACAGAATAGGATTAAAAAAATTGCTCGGTTGAGATTAATTACTCAGTGGTCCTAATCCCTTAATTTAGTATTGAAGATAAGTTTATCTTGATATTAAACTATTTTCAAGAATTATGGTGCCTGTGTGCTGTGATGCAAGCTAATGTAATATAATAGAGCAGTACGACGTAGACAGCATATAACAAAATAAGAATGCTAAATATCATATGCGAATCTTCCTCTTCTTAAAACAAATCCAACAGCAAGTGATTCAATATTCTGAATCAAAATATGAAAAACATGGCTGCAAGAAAGCCAGGTGTCTAAGACATGTCAATTTGGAAAAGTGGGACAACTTGGACCGAGATAGATACGCAAGCTGCTTATGTGGAAAAACAAGTGGACGGAAAATTAGCGCAAATACAGGGTGTCAAAAGATGTTACCTCAAGTAGTTAAACTGGTAAAATTAGTTTATCCTTCCAACATATTAAAAAATGTTACCAATAAAACTATGAGCTCATGACAGTTCATTTTTGAATTCAATTATTCCTTTTTAATAGACAAAAAAAAAAAGATAGCGTAAAACATTTACCAGCTGACTGAAAACAATGCAATTTGCTAGTTGCCATAGCTGGTAATGTGGTAACACTTTACACGGGTTACCAATAATCTCGGCAAGTACAGCTTCCGTCAATAAATCTATGGTATCTGTTGACATCGCGCACAATAATTTCCCTTTCCAACAGCCTACTGAAATACTTGAAGGCTTCATGGCAATCCCTGCAAATTCTAAGATTCTTCAGAATCCTCAAAGGTTTCCCAGGAGGTGCTACCCCACTTAACACCCCATATGCCAACGCCAGCTTCTCACTGTGATATGAAAGCCCTTCTCTTTTCTCCCCTTCCTCAACATCATGTAACATCTCGCTCCAATTTGGCACATAACCGAGTTTTTCAATCTCTTTCATGAGTTCTGCAAGCTTTGCATAAACCTCTTTTATCCGTTCATGCTCGCTGTCTCCTGCTAAAAACATGTGCACTTTTCCTCGCACCTCCATCCAACTTCTCCCACCTTCCTTCTTCACATTCACATTATTCATCATCTTCCTAACATTTGCAGCCTCATTCCACCTCCCTGATGCAGAGAATGTATTTGCAGCTATCACATACGCAGAGTCATCATTAGGGTCAAGTTCCAATAGCCGCTTACTCATCCTCCAAGCAACATCAGCATCACCATGTGCCGCACTTGCTGCCAGTAAAACCCGCCACACACCAGCATCCGGCTTAATTGGCATGGTCATAGCAATCCGCTCAGCATCATCCAATCTCCCAACTCTACCCAATGCACCCACTAAACAAGTATAGTGCTCCAATGAAGGCTTTAAACCATACTTTACTTTCATCTGATTAATCCAATACTCCGTCTCATCAGCCAAACCCGCATTATATAACGATGTTAACACAGCCAAGAAACTGAAGTCATCAGGTGCAAGTCCTCGCGATTCAAATAAACCAAAAAGTTCAAGAACTGAAGATTGATCACCCTGTTGAGCATAAGAGGCCATCATGGCATTCCATCCCACAATATTCATATCAGGCAAGAACTCATCAAACACCCTCCTAGCTTCCATTACCATACCACACTTCCCATATGCAGTAACCAATCCAGTACTAACATAAATAGCTTTAATAAGCCCTGTAACAATTCCGTGACCATGAATAACTCTACATTGCTCCAAAGTAGCAAGCTCAGCACCAGCACCTAGCGCCCCAGAAACACTATAAACCGTAGAACTCACATTCCGAGACACCATCTCAGCAAAAAGACCCAAAGCCTCAACAGGACGAGAATTCTGAGAAAACCCAACAACCATAGACGAATAACAAACCCCATCTCTCTCAGGCATTTCATCGAACACCTTATACGCATAATCAGGAAGCCGCAATTTCGAGTAAAAATGAACAAGGGCAGAAGCGCAAAAGGGCTGAGATGACAGAGAAAGCTTAAGGGAGAGAGAATGAACCTGGATTCCAAAGGGTAACAGAGAAAGAGTAGCACAAGTCTTGATAATGGAGGCTAAAGTTCGCTGATTGGGGCGAGTTGGGTGGCGGAGCATGGCGATGAAATGGCGCAGAGAAAGCGGAGAATTGGGGTTGCCGGAGATGAGGGAAGTCCATGAGACGACGTTGGGAGATGGGATTTGCCGGAAAACTGCAAAAGCTTGAGAAAAATGGTGGGATTTTGAGTAGAAAGTGATCAACCTGTTGAGGAAAGAGAGGGAATGTTGTCTGTTTGATGTTTTGATAATGTGGGCGTGGATTGTTCGTGGGTCTTTGGAATTTGATGATAATAGTGCGTCAAAGTAATCCATGTTGAAGAATTTTGGGAGCAAATTTGTGCAAAAATTTCATTTATATTTTGATTGCATGAATGATGATTAAAACATGTTCAATTGTTCAGGAGTCTTTAGCCTACTCATAATATACAAGGTGTAACCCAATTGAATAATGGCTACGTGAAAGGTTGAATACTCGAAAACTGCAAAATCTATGTAATGATCATTTTACTTAGAATTTCATTATTTAAGCTTATTGGAATTCATGTCATATTATGGACTTTGCAATAGATACTCCTTAGTAGCTTTGTTTATATAAGGGTTCAGTTCAGTTTAGCTCTAATTAGTCCAGTTTAGCTCTAATCAGTCCAGTTCAATTTAGTTCAGCTCCTAATTTCCTCCTCTCATAAAATATTCATTTCATTTCAGTTCAGCTCTAATCTGTTCAGTTCAGCTCAGTTCAGTAAATGTGAACAGGCCCTAAGTCTATTGGAATGCAATATAGGGTCTGTTCACTTCAGCTTAATTTCAGTTAGTTCAGTTCAGTCCATCTCCTAATTTTCTTCTCTCATAAAATGTTCATTTTAGCTCTATTCAGTTAAGTTCATTTCAGTTCAGCTCCAATCAATTCAGTTCAATTCAATTCAGCTCCAATTAGTTCAGTTCCGTTCAGCTCCTAATTTTCTTTTCTCATAAAATATTCATTATAGTTCTATTCGGCTTAGCTCCAATCAGTTCAGTTCAATTCAATAAATGTAAACAGGCCCATAGTCATTGAATACCTAAACTCTCAAGCCTTATCTGACCCCTATTTATGACACCATAAAATGATCATGATCATATATGGTTCCAAACTGCATTATATGACCCCGATATGTGTCTCCTAAAATCTCAAACCTTATCGATACCTGGTCCCGAAACCTCAAAAATTTCTTAAAAAACATGGATATTAGCCTTCAATTTTGGAATTTTTTGACCTTTTTTCGCCGAAAAATAAAAATTGTCAAAATGTTTACCATGGTCCCTAATACCCTCTGAGAGTCCAATTTGGTGGGTGGAACCATCCAATTTGCCTTTAAACGACCAATTTACAGGATTACAACTTGCACCAATTTCATTAACTCAAGCCTACCACGAACATTTGTGACAACATATAATGATCATTTATGGTTTAAAAAAGTATTATACGACCCCGAGATGTATCCCCAAAAATCTCAAATCTTTTCGACACCGAGCCCCGGAACCTAAAAAATTTCTAAAAGCGCGTAGATACTAGCCTTCAATTTTGGAATTTTTTAACTTTTTTTTCGCCCGAAAATAAAAATAGCTGAAATGTTTACCATGGTCCCTAATATCCTCCTATAGCCCAATTGGGTGGGTGGAACCACCAATTTGCCTCTAAACGGCCAATTTACTAGTTTACAACTTGCACCAATTTCATTTACTCAAGCCTATTAGCCTACCACGAACATTTACGACAACAAATAATGATCATAAATGGTTCCAAACGACATTAAATGACCCTGTGATATATTCCCTAAAATCTCAAGTCTTTTTGACACCTGGTCCCGAAACCTCCAAAATTTCTCAAAAAACATGGATATTAGCCTACAATTTTGGAATTTTTTGGTTTTTTTTCGCCCGAAAATAAAAATTGCCGAAATCTTTACCATGGTCCCTAATACCCTCTGGGAGTTCAATTGGGTGGGTGGAACCATCCAATTTGCCTTTACACGACTAAATTACCAGTTTACAACTTGCACTAATTTCATTAATTCAAGCCTACCACGAACATTTATGACAACAAATAATTATCATATATGGTTCCAAACGGCATCATATGACCCCAAGATGTTTCACATAGAATTTCAAGAATTTTCGACACCTGGCCCCGAAACCTCTAAAATTTCTAAAAAAACGTGGATATAAGCCTTCAATTTTGAAATTTTTTTACTTTTTCTCTCCTGGAAATAAAAATTACTGAAATTTTTACCATGATCCTTAATATCCTCCGGGAGGCCAATTGGGTGAAATTTGCCTTTAAACCGCTAATTTACCGGTTTACAACTTGTTCCGAATTCATTAACTCTAGCCTACCACTAATATCTATGACAACATATAATGATCATATATGATTCCAAACGGCATTATATGACAGTACACCCAGATTTATTCCTTAAATTCTCAAGATTTTGCGACGTCGGGCCACCGAAACCTCCAAAATTTCTTAAAATGCGTGGACATTAGCCTTCAATTTTGGAAATTTTTGACTTTTTTTTGCCTCAAAATAAAAATTGCCGAAATGTTTACAATGGTCCCTAATACGCTCCGGTAGTCCAATTGGGTGGGTGGAACCATCCAATTTGCATTTAAACGACCAATTTACCGGTTTACAACTTACACCGATTTCATCAACTCAAGCCTACCACGAACATTTATGACAACAAATAGTGATCATATATGGTTCCAAACAGCATTATATGACCCCAATATGTATCCCCTAAAATTTCAAGATTTTTCAACACCGGGCCCTGAAACCTCCAAAATTTCTCAAAAAGCGTGGATATTAGCCTTCAATTTTTAAAATTTTGACCTTTTTTTCGCCCGGAAACAAAAATTGCCAAAATATTTACCATGGTCCCTAATACCGTCCGAGAGTCCCATTGGGTGGGTGGAACCATCCAATTTGCGTTTAAACGACCAATTTACCGGTTTACAACTTACACCGATTTCATTAACTCATGCCTACCACGAACATTTATGACAACAAATAATGATCTTATATGGTTCCAAACATCATTATATTACCCCGAGATGTATCCCCTAAAATTTCAAAACTTTTCGACACCTGGCCTTGAAACCTCCAAAATTTCTCAAAAAGCGTGGATATTAGTCTTCAATTTTGGAATTTTTTGACTTTTTTTTCGCCTGGAAATAAAAATTTCCAAAATGTTTTTCATGGTCCCTAATGTCCTCCGGGAGTCTAATTGGTTGGTGGAACCATCCAATTTTCCTTTAAACGACAAATTTAATTGTCGGTTTACAACTTGCACGGATTTCATTAACTCAAGCCTACTACGAACATTTGTGACAACATATAATGATCATATATGGTTCCAAATGGCATTATATGACCCCTAGATGTGTTCCCTAATATATTAACACTTTTCTACATCGGGCACCTAAACCTTCAAAATTTCTCAAAAAGCGTGGATATTAGCCTTCAATTTTGGAATATTTTGACTTTTTTTTCGCCCGAAAATAAAAATTACCGAAATATTTACCATGGTCCCTAATATCCTCTAGGAGTCCAATTGGGTGGGTGGAAGTGGTGGAACCATCCAATTTGCCTTTAAACGACCAAATTACCGGTTTACAACTTGCACCGATTTCATTAATTCAAGCTTACCACGAACATTTATGACAACAAATAATGATCATATATGGTTCCAAACAGCATTATATGATCCCGAGATGTATCCCATAGAATTTCAAGGCTTTTCGACACCGGGCCCCGAAACCTCTAAAATTTCTCAAAAGCGAATGCCTTTAATTTTGGAATTTTTTGACTTTTTTCGACCGGAAATTAAAATTGCCAAAATGTGTACCATGGTCCCCAATACCCTCTACAAGTCCAATTGGGTGTGTGGAACCATTCAATTTGCTTTTAAACAGCCAATTTACCGGTTTACAACTTGCATCGATTTACCGGTTAACAATGGCCAATTTAATTAACTTGCATCGAACCCGACTTGAATCGAAATTGAGCCAAACCTGTTTTAATAACCCGAATTTAACCCGGCTTGTTACGAACCTGACCTGAATTCAACTTGACCCGTTCCCTAACCCGACTCGAATTTAACACAACCTGTTACAAACCCGATCTGAAATCAAGCCGACTTGTTATTGACTTGACCCAAATTCAACCCGACTTTTTATTGACCTGACCCGGATTTTACCATACCTTTTACTTACCCAACCCAAAATTTAAACCCGATCTATTACTAACACGACTCGAAATTTACACGACTTGTTATTGACACGATCTAAATTCAACCCAAATTGTTCCTGACCCGATTTCAAATCACCTTAAATGCAATTTAGACCACCTTATTATTGTTGATCAAAACATTTTGTCTTGGGAGACCAAGTCGGTCCAGCCCAGCAAAAGCAAGGAGCATCATAATCAAATTTAAGAGTTAAATATGGTATATATTTGTTGTATGGTCAAAGGAGATAATTGTCTTCCTAAATTATAAACTATAGTTTCCTAGTATATTGCCATATACATTATAGATTTATAGTCAAAGGAAATAATTAGCTTGATAAAAATGATAATTATCTATTTATAGTTAGTTGAACCCGAATATGACCTGACTTGAAAATGACCCGACCTAATTGTAACCTGCAAATTATTGACTTGAACATAACCTGACTTGAATCCGAGAATGACCAGACTTGGAAATGACCCAACCTGATTATAACCCGCGAATTATTGACTTGAACCGAACTTAACTTGAACCCGAGAATGACCCGACCTGATTATAATCCGCAAATTATTGACTAAACCCGAACCCGACTCAAACCCGAGAATGACCCGACCTGATTCTAACCCGCAAATTATTGACTTGAACTAAACCCGACTCGAACCTGAGAATTACCCTAACCTGTTTTAACCCGTGAAAACCCGAATTAAACCCGACTTATTGTTCACCCGACCTGAATGTAACCCGACCTGTTATTAACTTGACTTACACCCGATAAGAAGTATAACCCGATGTGACCCGACTCAAGCATGACCCAACCCAAACCCGACCCGCATAGGTTATGTAATTAATCTGAGTTGACCTGATCGACCCACTCTTACCCGACCCATTTACCCGAATTCACAACTCTAGTTACCTCATGTGATGGGACTAGGGATGGCAACGGGTCGGATCTGCACCGGGTCCGAATGGACCCGGATCCAGATTCGTTTTTGTATATAGGATCCAGATCCGACCCGGATCCATAAAATGAAGACCCAGATCTGGATCCGTCGGGTCCAACGGATCCGGGTCCAAAACGGGTCCAATATATTTTGCCTAATTTTTTGCAATAAATGTAATGTTCGGGTCAAAAAATTTATTTCAAACTTACGTTGTTGGTTATTAAGTTCAACCCCAAATTAACCAACTTATACACTCATATTTTGAATTAAAATTATAAACAACAAAAAAAAAAAATACGATGTTACATATGAGCTAGTGAAAAAACAACGATCATGTATATAATATGAGCATCCGAAATTCATCTCTTGAAAGGGTTAATCTTTATCATTACTAACATTATCAACATTTTTAATAAAGAAACAAACAGTTATAGT